AACCAAAAGCTTGGACGTATTGCGGTCAGAATGAAAATTAAAACATTAGTATTATCCAAGTGTGATTCGATTTATTTCTTAAGGTTGTGCTTCGCTATTTTAGAGAGACCGGGTAGAATGTTATTATATATGTAAAATGAAGGAGTGGTTAGAACTCAGGCTATTTTCCACCCCGTAGGAAATTCAAATTATTTTAATGCTCTATGAAGTGCAACTATATTATCTTTCCTTTCCCCTATTGAAATAGAAGATTATTAAACTCTTCTAACATTATTTAGGTAGCGTATGATTAGATCGTTTTCATCTTGTCAATTTTTTCTCCGTGATATACTTGCCTTCTTGCCTATATTATACATGCTTATCCACCATTGTAATATTACATTTATTTTGAAACGAACGGGTTTTATGGAGTAAATCCTAAAAAATGACAAAAACAAGTAAGAATGTTACAGTCGGACAAGGCCAGCCATTAAATACCCTGCATCACATTGTCTAACAGAATTTTTATTTTTATTATAGAACAGAAAAATTGTATCTTGTTTATATATAAAGTCATATTTTGTATGTGCGTATTCATGGAGAAGCCAGCCCAAAACGTAACCTAATCTAGTACAAGTTTAATCCTTACATAGGGCAGGATACAAAATTAGGCGTAGAATTTTTTAGTGTTCATTTTTGCATGAACTTGTTATATATATTATGAGTAAATTTATTTTCTTTTCTTTCTTTTTCTACTCTACAAAGAAGCAGTTTTCGTGGAAACCCTTATTAGGCTAGGACGCAATAGACAGGCCGAGATGGTCCAAATTTTCGCTTAAATTACTATTATCATATAATTTTCATGATGAAGCATTAAAAAATTATACCTTGTTGTCATATGAACTTCAGTTTTCGCTATATGAGAGGGGGTTTAAAAATTGCCCCAGTAGGTCCAAAGGTTTCAAACCAATTTTACTAGTTAGCCACTTTTGCCGAGAATTACAATTCATATAACTACTTTTCAGACTAGGGCTTTATATGGGGATTGATCGAAAAAGTGGAAAAAAGATCCGAACCATTTCAAGAAATTGTTCAACAAAGTTACCTTACCTTAAAGGATTGCTCACAAAGCAAAAGAGACATTATTATAGCTAGGAATTGATGTGAAGCTACTCGTTATTGGATTATACTTCTTTGCGGAAGAAGCTTATTTTTAGGTGACATACTAATAAATATGTAAAGAGAAGTTTGGAAATTTTTTGTTAATTTTCTATTAATTCCTTGCATCAGTAACAATGTATATTACATATATTTTTATATGTTTAACTTAATTTTTAATCTCCACATATACATATGTATATATATACATAAACAATAATGTATTCACAATACACACAATAAATAATAAATATGAAAACAAACAAAAATTTATATTTTCGAAATGTTTTGTATTTTGAATATATACACATACATATGTCTCCTTTTAACAATCCAAATAATGAGCTTTCTTTTTCTTTATGTGTAGTCAAAACTTTTTAATCACTTTTTGACTTTTGATTTGTTCAGTTTTTGAATATACGTGCAACATATTTATGCCTTCGCTTTTTTGGAAGGGTCATTTTTATCGTTCATCATAACATATAATTACTTAAAAAATACAACAAAATCTTAATAATCATAAGGCTTTTATTCTAAGAGAGCGACTCTTTAGCTATATTTATATGCCTGTGTAAGGTAAAGTATAAAAAGCAGCTAAGTTGGTCCATAATAATATATGTGTGAAAATTATCCCTTAATTGTCTCTTCTGTTATTTACCTATTGACGAAACGGATTCGTTCATTTTCAAGGTTTTATTTTTATTTAGGGCTTTCCAATCAACAAATTCTGTATTCATTTACGATACAAATTCTCTCATTTACAAGTGAGAACGAAATAATCATAAATAAGTAGCTTTCTTTCAACCGAAAAAAATGTAGAGAAATTTTCAATAACAAAAATGTCTATTCTCGCTTATCGAATATGAAATATTCCATCACACAGTATCTGTCACACAGTGACTCTTTTTTCACCCTCAAACCAATATAATCGAATTATCGAGTATTTATTCAAATGTGGATGAATCCAGTTGACGTTAATTAGAAAATTTAACTGGCCCTAAATGCCTAGAAGACCTTAACTCCTCTTCCTGCTGGCTCAATTAGTTAAATTTCGTTATATACTTTAAATGTGTTTTTTATACCCATCAAAATGGTCTCCGGAAGTATTTGTACTAAGTTTCAGACCAACTGTGAGTTGTTGCATTTTTTTTTCTATATTGGGCGTGGTTCTGGAAAGATGAAGGCCATTTTCAAACTTTATGTAGGATCATAATGCAAGGAAGTGTAAATCAATTTTCAACATTCCTTGGCAATTTTTGCAACGATACGCATTTCAAGAACAGACGGAAGATAACGACTTGCTATGAATTGCGTGCTTAATGGTATCTGTAATAACGATTTTGTGGTCTCATATAACACTCACGAATTCTTCGATCGTGATTCGAGTAAATATTCCATATTTCGAGAATTGCCTATTGGCTGTGAATTGATTTAATCAAAATTTCACATATAGATTTGTCGAAATTTTTCAATAATTTTATCAACTCAGTGAATTACTGTTTGTCCTTTCACTTTCGGTTACGGTTTACATTACATGCTGCAAAAGCGAATTTAATTTTCAGCATTCGTTTGCAGACATGGTTATTATAATTGCGGGATATTTTGAAGTTTCTGAATTGTTACACATTTTTTTAAAGATACGTTTGTGACACTGGCTTTTATTCTCTTTAACATACGCAATATTGAAAATCTGCATGTCAATACCATATATACGATAAATATGCATATATATTATATATAAGTTGTAAACAAATAAAAATTTATATTCGCCTTTACAACGAATTTTTGAAATCCACCACCTAAGATCACATTTTTTAATTGTTTGAATACGATCTCATTATATTAATCAATCCATCAAACATTCGTGCATTCATTTAGCCATTCATTCGTATCGCTATCTTTGCTAGGGCTTAAGTAAACTCTCTTGCAGAGAAGGACCAAAGGTCACTTTTAAAATTAAATGAACGGAAATCAACTGAAAGTATTTATTTTAAGTTTCCGGTTTTTACCTCCATTTTTTATGACTTTGGAATTTGTAGCAAAAAATTGCTCAGAACATAATTAAATTGACAAAAAACAGCGCATCGAGCAAAACGTTTGCATATTTTTGCAAATATATATATATATATATATATATATGTCCACTTATCAACTTTATTTATTCTTTTTATTAATTTAATTTATTCTTCGGTGGTGGGTATAAAAGAGAAAAACTAAGTCATATATGAAATGACTAAAAGTCTTCTTTTGATTTTTTGAAGTCAATCTTGCATTTAATAAAAACGCAGGCGAACTTCGAAGAAAGTGAATATAGAATAATTGCTTGCCATTTTTTTTTTTTTTAGTTTATTTCTTCCATTATTGGTTTTGTGATGTTAAACTCTACTCATTTTGTTATATAAATAATAAATAGCAATTGTTGCTTGTCAAATATTTATAGGGGACACAATATGCATAATCGAATGCGAACACGATCGTGATGAAAAAAGATGATGCGAGTATGAGAACTGAGTATGATTTTTGACAAAATACAGATCGAGGTCCATTTACCGGGGCCTTTGTCTGTTAAAATAAAAGGATTTTTCTATGATTTTTCATCGTAATGCTAAATGTACAATATGTTTCTTTTAAATAATTAAGAGTAAATATCAAATAATAAAAAATCAGCGAAGAAATATCAAATTCTTTTTTAAATTGATTAAACATTTGTGCTCACCTTTTCTTAAGTTTTTTTTTTTCACTTTTTACGAGAAATAATGAACTTTAATAGCATATAAGAACAACAACGGGAGTCAACGGGAATGATACGCAATTTAAAATGTTGCTGCGATCAGAAATCATATCATAAAATTACTTGATTCAGGTAATTACATGATCGTCAAAACATATGCATTTAATGTTTGCAATCTAATGTAATTATAGTTTCAAAAACTAACTAAATTTATACAAGTACTTGACATTCTTTTTACATATATAAATAACTTTTTATATAATTATAATATTTTTGAAAAAATTTACTAAAAAATAAAACAACAGTAAAATGAAAAAGCTATTCAGTGCGAAATGTCTGCATACGATTAAATAAGTGACCAACATACCCTAACATTCGTTTCACAATATTAATAATTTTTTGCGAACCATTTCGCCCTAACACCATCTGCCAAAACGTCTCACATTATTTTAGTTCATTTAATAGGTTCTAACATATATTGGTTTGACATTGTTCTTTAATAAAAATTTATAAATAAGAAATAATAATATTTGTTCGTGACCGAATCTTTTATACCCACCACCGTTATCGTAAAGAAGACTAAAATAAAGGAAAAGAATCAAATTTTCATACTCCATGATATTGAGTAGGGGGCGCGGTTGATTTTTTCCATTTTCAGGATAAAAGTAGAAATTTATATGGCGTATTCGTTGTACTTTATGAGTAACAAAACATAACAAAAAGCATGGAAAGGTGTTCACAGTTCTTGTTGTATAGGAGTGTGGGTGTTGTAGACGTGTTCTTTGAAAGGTTTGCGTCATTTTATTTAAATATTGGGTAGACGTGGTCAGGTCATTTTTTCCCATTTCATTTTCGAATTTTTATAAATTTATCTGTTGTAGTTTATCAGTAGCAAGCAGAAGACCAATTTTTCATTCTTTCTGAAAAATGGAGCCGTCCTTATAGCTACAGCGTAGTGCAGGCTTGTCTTTCGATCAATTTGGTCCGTTTTCCATACCTACCTGCCTAAAAGAAATTCTAATGTTTCACTTTTGCAATCAGGAGATTGTTTACAACAGACATTACACACACGCGGACAGACGGACATGCTTAAATTGAATCAGAATGTGGCGTCAGTCAATAATATATATACTTTATAACTATCATCCTTCGGTGATGAGTATAAAAATACTTAAATAGGGCTCAGATCCAAAAAAATATTTTCACATGTTTCCGAACATTATACGTTTATCACTTCAGCCGAATGATTTATTGTTTCTTTACAATTAACTTTGGTGTTTGCTTATGCAAAATTTGCATTGCTATCGTAACATCACCTCGTTTTCCAACGTCCAAGGTCTTATTAAAGAACTTTGCGAGGTAGTGTTTATCTATACATAATTGAAAGCAATCATCAATTAAGAGTCCCTTGGCAGCGTCAATTAGTTTTTTAAGGCGACTTGAATTACTTTATTACAAATAGGTTTTCGAATTTTTTTTCTTTTTTCCCCTGCTGGCGCTTATTAAATCGTTGTCTTCAGATTCTGGTCGACAATCTGAATCGAAATACGAAAGAACACACAGAACCCACTTATAGTGATTTTTCCTTTCTATCCGAATAATGTTCTTTCTAATGAAAGTCATGCTTCGGAAATGATAAAAAAAAAAATTAAAATTTGTTAAAAAATAGTAACTTTAACAACAAACAATGAATTTTAGATACCCACCACAATTAAATTTTCAGTTATTGTCGGGAGTGTTAGTAGTGGATTTATTTTCCCATGAGATTTCATATAGCCCTCCGGGTAAATATTTCAGATCGATGCCTGTAATGGATTATAAGTAAGAAAATCTAATGGAATTATCTGTATCTATTCGATTCGGCAAAAAGAATCGGATTATTTGCTTAAAAAAGCAAATGAATGTATTACGAGCCCCCCTAATATGTAAACGTTAGTATATGAGAATAAAAATGCCAATATTGTCCAAAGTCGCTTATTTGTTCAATCATTATGTAGAAGGAGGTTACGTGGTTACTTAATCTGCATGCAGACATTTTTAATGCGAATAATTAAGCTTTCCAATTATTTTATTAAATTATTTTAATTATTAATATTAATTAACAAAAAATCAATAGAAATTCTGTCATAAGAATAATGTTTAATCCGTTGCGATCGGCTATTTTCCCTAATCTGAATACCAACCTAGTCGGAATAAATTTAGCTTTGCGAATTTACTTCTCCGTTAGCGATTTGAAGCAAATGTTATACACGAACACTAAAAAACATAGAATTTATTAAAACTGAGTGTAAATAAAAGAATAATCCGAATTATCCTTTACTTTCTTTATACAAATTGTTGCAAAATTTTTCGTCTATAACGAAAATTATGGGAATTTCATCAGTGTGGCGGCATTGATCGCAAAGGGTTAATAAATATTTGGACTATGAAATATATAAGTCGAGTTATAAATTTTCTGCTATTTTGTTCAAATTTTCGAAATTGGTGCGTGAAAAACTTGAAGAGATTAAGGAGTTTTGTTTTGACACTTTCACACAAAAAATTGAAAAGACATTTATTTTCTATTATTCTATACATCTATACATGGTAGAAGAATAAATAACTATAAACAATTTTTCCAAAAATTGTAATTTGAAGTTTAGTAAGCCATCTTATATATAGAAAGAAGACAGCATTGTCCGTCAATTTAAAAAAGAATTTGTTATTTTAACTATTCAGTTTTTAGTATAAAATGGCATAACATTAACGGGGAAAACGCATACGCACACTTGTACACACATGTATATTCAGGCATATCAATATGATAGTCCTAATTTGTAATTTTCCCTTTTATCGATTCTTTTCTTTTTTTTTGTATTATTTATAATGCGCACAACTTACCGAAAATACTGATCCTGCATAGATTGACGCTGGAATTCGGCGGCCTGTAAATACTGTATATATGTAATTAATGAGTAAAATATTATCGTGAGTATTGGAAAACCTGAAGTTGATCAGCATAAGACATACGCAGCAAAACATCCGAATGTGGCTCTCTAGACATAAGCATATTTGGACGTGGATATTGTCCAACGTTCGCTATACGATGGACGACAATGAAATGATTTATCAACAGAAAAAATAAAATGTCATTTAAAAAAAACATTAATAACATAACAAGTTCATATTGTTATGATGGTGAAAGATTGACGGACCGGCAAACTTGATGGGAAATATGGGAGCATAAGAGAGGGAAGAAGAGGGAAAAGGGGAAGGCAGTCGAAATAAAGGTGGCTTTCGAAATAATGTAAAATAAACAAAGGATACACAGAGAATACAATTTAATAGGCAGGAGTTAATGCGTTGTTGTCATAATTGAAAGTTTTATTTTTTTTTTTTAGTTTGGCAAAGTCAGGTCGATTCTATTAGTACCCTAAATTTCTGCAGGATGTAGATCTACAATAAGATCAATAGAATTTAATTAAATTGTTGATACTAAACATTTTTCCGAGAAGTCAACTTTCTTTGGCAAATAACGAAGCCAATCTGTTTGGTATAGCAAGGACTATGAAATACATAAATAGGCCCCGATCGGATTTTTTTATTGATTTTTAGTTCAACCTTTTATTATATTATTTGTTTTAGTTAAACGAATATGTCAAGAAGTACTGTAGGTGTTTTGATTTCAATAACTATATAGACAGTCATAAAACCACCCAATCAAAAAATTCATTGAACACACGATCATGGTGGCAATGGTATTAAGTTAAATCCGTAAAAACCCTATAGCATTTTATTATATTTGTAGCGCCAGTTAGTAAAAACATTCTATTTATAAGATTACTTTTAACATTTTTGAAGAAATAATAACTGAAATTATTTCAGATTTCAAGAAATTAAAGAAAAAGAAACTAAAAAGGTAATATGTGCTTCCATAAAAAGTGATATAAGACAAACTAATTATAAATGTATTTGTACAAACTCACGTGGTAGTTGGAATCCGGCCTCCGGTGGTTGCGGCTGTGAAGGCAAAGGCAAATGTAAATGAGTATGAGAATGCGCATGTGCATGAAATTCTCGTGTCAATCGTATCTGAAATTTTGAAAATTTTCAAAAAGAAAACATAGCGAATTTTCTTCTTTTCTGGTGTTGTGTTTTTACAAAAGCACAAACAAAAACGAAAAACATAATCAAAAAATAAATGAGAACGTCTCGTGGACGAAATTTCATGAGACAAGATAAGTTTTTAAGCGCAGTGTGAAAAACCAAAAATCTGCATTTGTCTGTATTTAATATTTATTCGTTAAATATAGTGATAAACGAAAACGCATATGAAAAATTGCAAACAAACAAAGGAAACATTTAATTAATTAATTTTTGGGAAAGAAGCGATTATTTTGGTTAATAAAGTATAGAAAAAAATGAATTAGTAGCGAAAAAAATTATAGACCGATATTGGACTGTTTTGCTCTGATGACGATACTCATATTAATTTGGTGTTAAACAAAAACAACCAAAACGCAACGCACACGTGCAAAGAAAGCTTTCATCGATTTGTTAAGATGTGCAGCGATCTTTAATGAAAAACCAAAAATGCAAAAATGAAAAAAATATTCACGCATACAAACATACACACACTTTATGGTCATTTTGTTAAAGTCGTTTATTTTATTCCTGTGATTATTAATTCGCAATTTTAAACTTTCCAAATACGATTGAGTGATGATTGTTTAAATGCTTAAAAAAGTTCATATAGGTATATATATACATATACATGTATATATAGATATGTGTATATACATATGTACAGATATAGTATATGTATAGATATATATGTATATATACATAGGGTTATTATAATAACATACATATGCATGTATGTACGCTATACACACACATGAAAGAAGTGCAAAAAACATATTAACCATAAGAGCTAACATACCATATGTTCACTCGAGTCCAAGCCCACATGATGTGGTGGTGGTATGCCTAACCGTTCCCTTTCAATTTGCGATATAGCGGCTGGATTCGCGTACAACGGAAATTGTGAAGGATGCATACTTCTGTAATTTTTAAAAAAAATTTTTTATTTTCTTACAATTATTGCCAGTAAGCTTTAAAATACCGTCGATAATATTCCATCCAATGAGGGTCCAAACGTGATTGGCTAGCTGCTGCAGCTTGTGCGTTTTTGATTTCTTCCAATTCTCTGGAAGTTGTTCAATACTAAATTATTTTCTTGCTAAATTATTGTTACATGAAAGCAATTAATGAAATATATTAATAGTCGGAATAAGGTTTACGCTTCTGTTAAAGGCGGGCGTTACCGCTATAATGTCGTCTTGTAACTTCTCAATGTAAAAGTGTAATCCATCGTGCTACAGTGTAATTTATCTTATATAAACAATATAATACTTTCAAGCCTTTAATATATTAAATGCAAAAAGCCACGCCTCACCTATTTAAGGGAATCAATTGCTCAATTATTTTTGTAATTTGTCTAAAGCGGATATCTTCATTTTTGACAGATGGATAAAGGGACTGACAAAGATGTTTAGAACAATTCAAATTGGATACTAATCAATATTATTTGGGTTTTAGTGGGTTGCTGAAGCTTCTTTCTAGTTGCTGCAAACCTTTTAACAAAAGAAAGAAATTTCAATATTCTATAATATTGACTACTAGAAGGGGCCGGTTTTTTCTATTTTCGTTTAGAAGCACTCATAGCATATAAATGCAAATCGCTCTATCCGTTGTACTTTACACGTAACGAGCTTTTTTATTTTTAAAAGCAGAGGTGGTCTCAGGTTATGTTGCACTGTGGGCGTATTCTTTGATTGGCTTAATTTCGATATCAACCTGAGTCCAAGAACTTCCAATGTTTTCGCCAAATTTGAAGCAGACAGCTAAATTTCGATAGCTAGTTTTCGCGTTCATGAGATTGTTTACCATAGACATTACGCAGACGAACAATTATATAGACATAAAGAGGTGTGGGTGAGGGGCTAAGACCGGTTTACAATTTGATGCTGATCAGAAATACACTTTATGGGGTCTCTGAAGCTTCCTTCTGGGTGTTGCAAACATTTTGACGCAATGAATCTCATTTTCCGGTGATGAGTATTAAAAAATATTTTAAGGTATATCACGAGTTTCTTATGTTCGATTAACTCTATTTAGAAAAGGTTAGCAGCAATGAGTTGCCTCATTATACTTAAGATTTCTTTTGATTAACATCTATTTCAATCGATAATCTATTGTCTCTCTAAGCAGCACTTGGTAACATTTTTAACAAAATTTATTGCACCATATTTTTAATGAATATTTAATTGAAACAAAACAGCATGAAACTTATTCGAACCCTCAATAGTTAAATCAGTATTTAATTATAGTTTTTGATTTTATTTTGGAAAGCTTAACTGCATAGATACCTTTCTCTATATATGGGCCCCATTGGGTGGTGATAAGGTACCATTTGTTCAACAGGACTGAAATAATAAAAAAAATAAAGTAGAAAAAAAATCTTGATTAAAGCAATAAAATTAATATCTAAACACATCACTATATAGTAAGTAAGAAAGCAAGTAAAATGTAGAAAGTTATATTCGGGGGCGGGTGGCCAAATTTTGCATACCCGCCGCCATGCTTTTCGCATTCTACTCTCCAAGTTCTTTTATTTGATACCCATATCTCTGGTATTATTAAGAAAAAGTTAATGTCTACAGACAGGCAGATGATATACCGTCATCTAAAGAATTTACGAAATAGTTTTAAACATTCTGTCTTGATTACGTTATGATAAATAAGCATAAAACCTCAAAAAAGTGAAAAAAATAAATTTTAACCATTTGTAACTTTGTGTGAGCACGGCCGATTTTTCCATTCCACTTTTGGACGTACAGAGTAGAGTGTTCCGTAAAGTAAATGTGGACAATTTTAGCTTTCTAACTTTTATAATTTCTGAGTAACGAGCAAAAACTCACAAATTTTTGTTAAGAAATGCGTAGTTGAGCGCAGTTTATGCTCCACTGCGGACTTGTGGTGACCAATTTGGCCCATCATAAAAACTAAGCTAAGAGCAAAAAATTTCAACGTTTCTATCAAATTTGATGCCGATATCTTGACTTTTATGATGAGTAATAAATACCCCACAAACGGACAGACATGGCTTAATCAATTCAGGATTGCACGCTGATGAAGAATATATATACTTTATACGGCCTCTAAAAGGCCTTCTTTTAGGTGTTACATGCATTATTAAAAAAACAAAATAAGTATACCCCCATCCTTTAGTGGTGGGTATCAAAATGGATAAAAAATTGTCAGACTAGATGAGATTTTCCAAATAAGCTGCAAATTTTCAATTTAAACTTGCCATTTGTTTCTTTATACAAGCAAAAGATTTGATGGATATTAGATTAGTGAATCTTCCAACAATTGTACTATATATATATATATACTATACTATTTACTAATATTTAGGTTAGTTATAGGACAAGTATTAAATATTCTCATTTATAGCCAAATATAATTCTGACGAAAATAAATAGAATTTTAGAACATAATTAAATTATCTACATACAATCTGAAGACTGTAGCCGTGGTTGCACAGACAGACAAACGGTAGTGATTATTTAATTTGGCTTATCGAAAGCATTGGACAAATCAAATACACTACGCTACGAATTAGCCAAAAATTATTTACACTGCGAACAACAACTTTTTTAAACCTGATACCCACCTGAAAGCAACGTGCGGCCTGGCGTATTCTGATAATTGGCGCAAAGCAGGAGTATCTGCATAAGGAGGTTTTAGGTCGGCTTTTAGTTTAGCTTGTTGAGCGGCAGCTTGTTGAGCAGCTGCAGCTTGCTGTTGCTGTTGTTGTTGTTGTTGTTGCTGTTGCTGAAAGTAATCCGACACATAATATATTAAGTAAGAGCACATCCCATTTATATCATTTACTTGTCTTCTTTCGCGTTCTTTTTCCGCCAATTTACGATCACGTTCTTCACGTTTACGGGCTAGCTTGGAATCAGCGACCGGTTTGAATATTAAATCAGTTCTTGTACATGAATTGTAATCACCGCGATCAATATGACGGACAAATCTAGAATTCGAAAACTTGCGTTGTATTGTGGTTCTACTGATTGCAATATTATACTTTTCTTACATTGCTGATTGTGAACGGTGGCATTCGGTATCATCTGGTTTTGCTTCTGGACTAGGACCACGTGGTATATTGTGTGTAGGACTAGGAATTTCTGGTTCAGGATCAGGTTCAATTTCAATTGGTACTAGCATACAGAAGACAAAAAAATCATATTACATACAAATTTTGATTTTATGATATTATTAGGCGCATTGCGAAACCTACACGTCTCCGAAGGATGATGCGGTGCCCCTAGTCCGGCGCTAGCTGAATGTGCGTGTGCTCTTAGTGCATCCATATGCGATGTGGGTTTTATCACATGGGTTTGGCCAGCATCTTGATATGGTGGGGCGTGCGGGGGAGGCGGATAACCTGACATATGCGAGCCTTGATAACCAGAAGGTGGTAATCCAGCCGGAGTTGTCTGTTGATTGCTTACTGAAGGTCCTCCGCTTCCACCGCTAACACTGTTACTACTATTACTTTGCGGAGTCTTTGACGCTGGAGACTTATTTTGATGCTGCTGTTGTTGCTGCTGCTGATGTTGTTGCTGCTGGATCTGTTGGTGTATTTGTTGCTGTTTCTGCTTTTCTACAGCGGCCGCAGCTGCCGCTGCCACAGTAGGATCATCTGGTCGTGTAGGTGGTGGTGGTCCTGGCAATCCAGGATGATGGGCCGCCATTACAGTGGTTGGATCCAAAGGTCCAGCTGGCGGTGGCGGTTTCATGTAAGCTGCTGGGAAACCTGGTCCATAAGGTCCGTAACCATATGGAGAATTAAATGGGTTATGATGATGCGGTGAATAAAACATTGAAGGATGCAAAAGCGGGTGAGGATAAGGAGACTGAGCTGGATGCACGCCTATCTGGGGTATGCCTGCTCCTGCTGGAATTAAAGGTAGTGGCAAAGGCATTTGGGGGTGACGTATTACTGGTGGAGAAGCCCCCGGTCGTAAGTGTGGTGGCGGAGACGTTCCAAGACCTCTCTGCCCAGCTTGTGGCCCGTACATTTTACTTAAAGGACTTGCCATTAAAGCTGAAGTACTTGATACAGGCGGCGGCGTCATGTGAGGGGATTGTTGCCGTAACAATGCATGACGATCTCTTTCTGCCGCGGCAGCTGCGGCTGAAAGGGCAGAAGATGAGGGATGATGGCTCAACGGCGACTGCGGCACAGGATGTAGTGGGCTTTGCCTACTTAGGCTACTTGCACTTGACGCTGGAGAAACCGAACGATGAACAACACCTGCAGATGAAGTCAAACTACCTGGTGTGCCGGAATTATTACCACCAGTTGACGATCCTCCAAGCCCTCCACCTGGTGCACCACCAATGGAATTTGTTTGTACGCTTGGACTAGCACGACTAAAAGCGGACGACGGAACAGTATTAGTTGTTAAGGTATTCGAAGCGGATGAGGAAGAGTTTGATGCGTGCGGAGGCATTGAACCACTTGCTGATGAGACCGCTGAATGCGACTGGGGCAAGTGCGAGGATGGTGGTGTTCGGCGATTGAGTCCTGATTCTTGGAGATTGTTTAGTGTGGGAGGTCCTGCTAGTAACGCGATCGGGCCAGCGCCTGGTCCCAAAGCAGCCAGAGAATGAGAAAGCATGTGATGACCTGGATGACCTGGTGGCAAATGCGCTAAATGCGGATGAATAGGTAATGGATGACCAATTAATCCATGTGGAGGATTACCAGCTAAACCAGGTAAAGGTGAAGTTCGATGGGAATGTGGTGACTGTTGAGGTGGAGCTGAAGAAGACTGAGATGCTGCAGATTCCCTTAATTGAGAAGATGATGGTATACCCGGTCCCGAACTCCGGTCGTCGTGTATTCCCCTGGATGGTTGTTGAGCTGGAGAAGGAGTTCTTGCAGTACCAGTTTGTGGTTGTTGTGGTTGTTGTGAAAGCCCATGTGCCTGCATAGGTGGAGGTGGTCCGTTTCGTAAATCATGACTTTGTAAAGATAATGGTATCGGGGCGTGAGAATGTATACCTGCGCCAGGTGGTAATTCCGGATGTGGCCTGTGTATTTGATGCAAATGACTTGGGGGTAAATGTTGGGGATGTATTCCAGAGGCCATTGTTATTGGCCCCGGTGGTGCACAACTCGCCGTGGATGTCAAGGGCAAAGTCGATGGAACTGATGTGGACCCAAGATGGAGAAGGCCACTCTGTGGCGTACTATTAGACGAAGGTGGAGGTGTTGGATGCATTGGAGTTTGCGGAACCTGACTTACAGCTGAATTGGGTTGCATACTGGAACTTTGGCTGAGATGGGCTGGATGTGGTGGTAGACCGCCATGTGGCGAAACCAAGTTTTGTGGATGCATTCCAGGCGGCAGTCCACCACTAGCTGGAGAGGGCATATGAGGCGACGGATGCGGAGACTGAAATTGCTGCTGAGATAGAGGTTGAGAGCTGCTGTTACTGCTCTGGCTATCTTGTCCCGGCGTTGAACGCGAGGAAGCATCAATGGGACTTTCAGAAGGAGTATATTTCAAACTACCTTCACTGCCAACGTAGGGTGATGATTTTATAAGATTTTCGCCATATGGCGACGGCTTTAAACCGCTACCTAGATCATTCAAGGTTCCTTGCGGGGCAGAGTATTTGAGATCGGAACCATATTTACTAGTTAAAGGGTCGCCGTACTTAATCATAAGCCCCGCTGCTGACTCGAAAGGAGTTCGCGTCATTGTATGTTGAACTTCATGCTGATAGTGCGCTTTTGGCACCGCAATACCTGGCGGAGGTGTACTTCCCGGTAGCAGACCTATTGATCCAGTATTAGATGATTGTTGATCCGATAATCCACTGCCATACTTGTGTGTTGAATTTTCGCTAAGTGCAGAAGTGTTAGTTTGTGGAGTTCCTAAGCCCCCTGGCGCATAGCTACCCTTAAGATCCGGAATTTTCAAAGGATCATTTACATAAGGCTTGTTGCTTGATGGTAAAGGATGAGTAGATAAATCGCTTGGAAATTTACCACCTTGTTGCTCTATCATATATTTCATGTCATATTTACCAGCCGCGGCAACTGCAGCTGCTGCCTGTACTTCTTGACTATATTTCATTGAATCTAGAGATGGTGGATATTTTAAGTCTTGAGAAGCGAATTTACTAGGCTCGTATTTAATTTCGCCATATTTTACATCCAAGTCACTGGTATATTTATGTGACGAAACGGATACAGCAGGAGCACCTGTTATATTTCCGGAAGATATATCAGTTGTAGATGCATATGCGAGTGGACTTCCTTCGACAATATAGCCCGGAGGCGGACCAGAATGATGATGTTGCATGATTGAAGGTGGTTGGCTTTGGGTGGGTTCTTGATTTTCACGACTATCTGTTGCTAAGGACATCGAAACTTGATTGGCACTAGATGTGCTGTGTGATAGCCGCAAAACTGCAGCTTTACTATCTTCATTTTTAACCTCAATTTTCACTTTGAGGTCTTGAGGTTCATTACTATTTTGATTACAGGTGGCATCCATTGAATCATCCATCGGTTCTTTTTTTATAAACACATCGTCTGGCATTACATTTGCCGAAGGAGGAATTTGAAGTGTTTCTTGCTTCATGTTAGCAATCTTCTTTAACATTTCTTGTTCTTTTGGTAAATCGCAATCCTTCATCTCTATCTTTTCTGATTCCTTGCGATCCACCGAAGCATTCAAGGCCTGAACAGTGGCTATTGTGGGTATTTTAAGGGGAAGCGAGCCTGCTATTGGTTGAGCTACGATAGCCGGCTTTTCTTCTTTGGTTCTTGAGTCTTTCAGACAATCGCTTCCCACTACTGGTATTACAGTTGGGGCTTGAATGTTGGTCTCTTCATCATCATTTTTGATCTTCTCTTTTGTATCAGAATCGGTGATTTTCTTGGAAGTAGGCTCACAAATTTTATCACTTTTGAACGTTTCAAGATCATGGTTGCCGCTGCTGTCTTCTTTACTAGACGAACTCTCCTTACTGTCTTTAGACTGTTGTTCCCCTGTGTCTGTTATGTTCGATTCACCATCGTCCATTGCTGAGTCGGATCGACTGTCAGAGTTCATACTCTCCGTAGAGCTTTCGGTGCGCTTACGTTTATCTTTAGTCGTTGAAACTGTAGTAGTGTCATCTCCTATATCAGTAATCTCACCGCTCGTGGAGACATCGGTGTCAATGCGCTTCCTTTTACTAGGTGTCTCTTGACGACCAGTCTTGCGTTTACTTGCTACATTTTCAGTAGAGTGCGGTTTTGTGGGCGTCTTGGGACTTTCAGCCGGCGTTACATTATCCGGCGTTTCTGTGCCACGTTTAGGTCTTTTACCATTTGCCGTAACTTGTGGTTGAGTAACCTGTGTCTGATCACACTTAGATGTGGTCGTGGCACTATTTTGTGGTTTGTTTCTCGTCCTCATCCTAGATGGTGATTCATCCCTCTTGTGAGTCAAACTTGAGTCACTGTCGCACTCGCTGACGTCGTCCTCGGTTAGAGAACTATTCTCCTCCTTGGAAGCAACAGGCGAAGCGCTATTCGTCTCTGAAGTCGCCGTAGTCGCCACCGTCGTCGTGGCCGTCGCAACAGATTGAGGTTCAGGCGTATCCTCCTTCTTGGGAGGTGTATTGCTTGCTCGTGTAACACGATTGCGCCGCAAAGCACTTTGACGTCGTCGGCGATGAGGTCGGTTGTTATTGGCACCCGGCGTTTTCTTCCACAAATAATAAAACTCTACTAGCTCGGGAGTTTCTTTGTGCGGTAGTAAATCTTTGTGTATTCTAAAGAAGTTTTTTCCAAATTGACGAAGACCTTTAATAAATTTCTTCGTTTCGTCTTCAGTCCATTTCTTATCAATACCTTTTGAAACGGGACACTTTACAAGTGTCTGTAAGGCTTTACCTGGATCGTAGCCAGAATCATGTAACTAATTTTAAAGAAAGTTTATTGTTATTGTCACATAGCACTATTAATTGAAAATAACATACAACATCAAGTGCGTTAATGGTAGTATCATCACGACTAGCAGCTAAACAACCATCTTCTAATCCTCCATCACACATTCCTGAAATATCGACGCAATTATATGATATCATTAAAAAAAAAAAAAAAGAAGAAACAGACCAGCAAACCAGCTTACCTTGAAATGCAGCCATAGAACGAGCTGCGCGTAAAAACATTAACAAATCGCAATCTGTTACAATGCCGGGACTCCATCTTGATTCTTCTAATTCACGCTCATCGGTTTCCTTGTCAACAGGAAAGCTTGAAATTGGATTATAATCGGGCAACTTTGCCTTTTGTGTGTGCGTAAAGTGATAAGATACAATCATGGTGAATAAAAATGAGAATTAGTGATAATTATTACGATGAATGATGATGAATTGATAGCGCATATGCTTTCACACGTTATTATGCATATTATATTATCTGTTTGCATATGCACACGCACCAGCATTACGACAATATAGAAAGCAATAATAATTTATAGTTAATGAAGTGTTAGCTTGATGTTAATGAAATGAGATGTTAGAGGACAAGGAACCGCTATTAAACTTTTTTGATCGAAATGTGTAATATTTTTACGTATGTTAGTAAACATACCGGCCGCTACAATAAGTACGTACATATGAAACATTCAAGGGATGGAAAATAAAACTAATCACTTATTAAACCAATATACGCGTTAAATTTAGAAATAAATTACAAACTTAAAATCTACTTTTCGAGGCATTTATTAAACAATCTTTTATTAAATTATAATCATATAAATGACTTTACGCTTTTAAAAATACATATATTTTTAATCAGCTTGCGATTTTTAGTGAAATTTTTTGCATTTCTTGTTCTACTATGAGAGCATTATATAAGTGATAAACAATCAGAAAAAATTAAAACGTTATGACTTATATTTAATAGACCTGGAGAAAAATTTATTACGAAATAAGTTTCGACGGTCGGGCCCAATAAAGTGTCAAATAAACCTTGGTTACTTGCTCTTATGCATATTTATATTATATGCAATTGTGCTAATTTATGCTAATTTTTTAATAGTACACGTCTGCCTTCTGATTCCAATGCAAGGAGTATTTTTATGCATTTACAAACATGCGACAATATATATTTTCATATTCCTGCATTTCAAAGTTTGTATATTATTTATCTAAAATTAATGTGTACCTTACTCTATATAAATTTTCATTTTATTGAAAGTAATTGCGTATCTTAAATCTGTGATACTCTGAACAAGAGTTATAATGTTGTTACTATAAACAAGGTCGAAAGGAAAAGTATTGACCATCGTCAGGAGCTCTAATTTTTGCATGCCTACGCGTGTGGAAGAAAACGTTAATTTCTATTAAACCATTTCGACGATGTACTATGATTATAGATCGATCCAACTTATGTTCTACGAATTCCCATAGAATATTCACTAAATTTATTTCGTCAAACTGCTTTGGCTGAATTGAAGAGCCCACACGAAACCAAAATACATGTCTCACTAGAAAATTTCGTTTGCACTTTTTTTTATATATACCAATCACTGAAGGATGGCGGTAAACTCATTTTGTCATAATATTTGCAACGGCCGAAAGGGAGATTTAGAGAAATTTAATTGACTTATTTTTTTTTGTGTTTCGCTAATTCTTAAGTTACAGTGGAAAGAGCATTCATCGTATATTGTATAAATTCCTTATTGCAAAAATGAAAACAGATCTTACCAAAAATAAATGCATATTGTATGTAAGTAAATTCATGTAAAACTTCTACAACTTTTTCAATACTAATCTATTAATAACAACTTACAAAATAAACTTTATTCTACTACATTGGGTATTGGTAAAAAGAATGGTAGCGACTCTACAAGATTCGACGCCACCCAAAGTATATGTTCCTTACTTGTTTGTTTTTTTTTTTTTTGTTTTCTACGTGACCGATCTCAAGAAATGTTTGCCTGCGATATACTAAATGTTATGCCTTTACTGACCGCGCTCTCGCTATAACTGCGATCACACATCAACCGTAATTAATGTACGGTCTAACATACTGAGAACTTAATTTGTCTTCCCCGACCTGATTGTCGCGCCTCTTAATTACTTGGCTAAGCGTCGGCCCCAATGACAATTTCGAGGATTTCAGGTGTTGAAAGGACTTTGCGCTTTTTCACACTAGGGAGGTGAGTATATATTGACTTAAGTCAAAGAAAGTTTGACTGTGTTCACCTTCCAATTAAGTTTGAATTGTAAAAATGTGTAAAGTTACGATAGGGCATTTAATTTTGCATGTGTATCATTGATGATTTAGAAGAACTGAAAACGCCCAGAATGTGCAGACGAATTGAAGTCATCTCGAATGTACCGAAAATGTCGCAACATTCGTAACTTGGTATCCTTTAAAGAAGTTCCCGAACATGTTTTACATAAATATTTATCAGGGTCATCTGAGACTTGGACCCCAAATGCTTACTAAATATCTTACTAAATATCAATTTGAAATTTTCGGTTTGCTTATTTTGCTGTATAGCTTATCAGAATGTAAACGGGTTCCTTACAATTATGTTTCAAATTACAAGTTTGAACCGCTAAAGTAATTATAATAATCTATAGATTCATCGTTCACGATAACGTAGAATGCAAATAAATTTGGAGTCAAAAAAGGAGTTATCGAAAGTAATTAAGGTTAAAAAAAATAAAATGAGTCCCTCTATTCCATGACAACTTGTATATCGAATAATATCAATTTGACATTTTAAAAAATCAACTTAGCAAAAACCCTTTACTTAGTTCCTAACATACATCTGCGTAGATTGCTCGCAATGGAATTGAACTTCTTGAAATTGTACCTTTTTACGTTCAGGCTAGTGTTATACTTAAGTTAGCGCCGAACCGGATCTAAAGCGTATCAATTTCAATTGTCGAAAGAAAGTATGCTTATATTTGCGATAGATGTAATAAACATGTTTTGCGCAATATATGTTATACATATATATGTAATTATCTGACATAATACGTGTTTATAAAGCGTTTGTCATATTCACAATGAAAAAAATTTTTTTTTTTTATATTTTGTTATTTACACAAATTACATCAAAGCATGCAAGTGATAATATCGACAATCATTTAATGAACGCAACGGGAATACATATAAAAAAACAACTCTTTTACAGATATTTGTGTTTGTATTAATAAACTGATCGTGAGCATGTTTAGATCGAACTGTCAGAGGACCCTTTGGGTCAAACTTTGTAAACTTTCAATTTCCTTTTCGATTTTTTGGTATTTTAATAATATTGCGGAAGAATGAATCAAATTGACAGCGTGACAATGGTCGAATCTCTTATATACCATATACATATGAACTTGATCTAAGAAAGAAGTTCAAATAATATAAAATAAAAATTAAATTTTCATAATTTATAAAATTGAGTGAGTGATACTGGATTTTTCCATTTTTTTCGTAAATACGGTACAATCCCTCATAGAATATAGAAAGAATTTTTTACCGTTGCATCTGTTCCAGATTATGAGTACTGATGAGTACTGATTCAAAAACCAATTTTTTTTGTTTTTAACACTATCAGTTTACCTTATACTATGGCCATATTGTTTGGTAGATTCGGATAATTGTCAATACAATAACTGCGTGTCCTGCGTGAATTTCCAATATTTTTGCCAAATTTGAAGCCGATACCTTAATTGTTGCGAACAAGAGTACATTTACCATAGGTCAAACAAACGAACGAACAGATTAACGGAGCGACAACTATGTTTTCATTCCTTTTAAGTACATATAGAGCATCTGTTGCAAACGTTTTGATAAAAAAAACAAGCAATACTTCTATACCTTATAATATTTGCTGAGCGTGGCCAATTTCTTCATTTCCTTCTTACTTTTTTTTAATAGGTACATAAATTATAAAAATAATAAGAAGAAAATGGATCGTGAGTAATAGGGGACTTGAAAATGGACCAAAATTCTGAAAAAAATCCGCCGTATTTTAAAATACCACTGCGACCATTCGGTTATGACTTCGAAACCACGTGAAGAAATTCGTAGTGCGTTCGATCAAGTTGCTTTAACAAAATCAGCAAAATCTGCAAATTATGCCATTAGAGACCACGCCACGCACTGGTCGAAACATTATAAAATTATAGATAAAACACACACATTTCATCTCAGGAAATAGTTTTAAAACACTTGCAAAAAGTTGGCTAAAAAAAGCTCCATCTTTGGGTTCAACATAAATTGACAGTAAATCGAAAGCGAAATATAGGCGATTCGCTGTTGAAAAGAAAACAAACCGAATTATTTTTGAGGAGACTGAAAATAACCATTAAATATGAGTCGCATATAAATATATTAAAAGGGTGGTAGTCCAAAATGGATGGATTTGCGAAAACTTTGATCAAGCCCGAACTAATGCTACGTTTGTGGTTAGTAGCATTCTAAAGAAATCGTGCGCCAGGGGCTGCTCCAACCTGAACAAAGAAATGAATCTCTTTTTTACTGTCAACAGCTAATGGAATTAAATTGCGGTAAAGCGTCCACAATTAATCAATAGAAAAGGCGTCGCCCTCAAACGCGTCAATGCCAGGCGACACAATTTTTGGTTGAGTGGAGAAAAATACTATAGTGGTAGCATATATTTGGCCCAATAACATTCACATAAAATTTAGGGTAATTCATTTTTTGGCCCGCAATTTGTCGACCCTGCAAAACAGATCTGTCATCTGATCGGACATTTTAACATAGTAAAAACTTACGACGAAAATGCTGAAAGGTAGCTTTTCTGCACTACGAGCAGATTATGATCGACTTAATCGAGCATTAAAGATTCCAATAAAAACGTGTTCAAATTTTATTTGATGAAGCGCGTAAGGAAATAAAATTTCAAATATTTATAAAATTAACTTTTAATTAACTTTCTGATTTATTTATATATTCGAGTTTATACCGAACAATACACGAAAGATCGACTCTAAATGTAAGCATTAACCAGATGTACAAACCTAAAATACGAATTTGAGAAATTAGAGGATCCACAAACGCCTTGTGTAGAATAAGGATCGGACAAATGTAGAATTTTGTTAAGTTAAGCGCCCATAAGCGATGAACTGAAAAATGCGTTTGCATAGTATTGCGTTGCTCTGTTCAATATTTGGAAATTTCTGCCAATTAGAACGGGTATGCGGACAGTACTCATTTTTTATTTTGATTTGAAAGAAACTGTCGTTAAATCATACCAATTGTGTCGAGAATGTTATAGTGAAAATATAGATATTGCAAAGACGTCGAATCACCGTAAAGGTAAGTTGTAGAATTGCAACACGACTCACGAACCCAAAAGCAATTCACAGAAAAGTGGGTGAGATGTTTTTCAAATCGTCAGGGAAAATTAGGAAAGTTTCAGAAGATCGATAGATGTACACTATAAAAGTTGAGCAAACGGAGTTGAGAAAGTAATTTTTCCATCAAATTGGATCAATTACTGGAAGTAAAAATAGATTTATTTTGACAATCCTAAATGCAACTGTCAAAAAACCCAATATAAAGTCACTTTTTTTCCATGGCAATGCTCCATTGTATGCGGCAAAGCTGATTCGCGGCACGTGGAAAGTGTTAGCCCATGCCACTTACTCACCAGACATGATTCCTTTCGATTATCGCTTATTTGCCATCCATAGGTGACGTACTTATTGACCGATGCTTTGATTCATATTAAGAAAATGTTTCGATGCATAGTTCGCGGCAAAAGGAGTGGATTTTTGCTCACATCGTGCGCACAATTTGCCCGAAAGATGAGGAAAATGCACAATTAGCGATGGAGTATTTTTTTTTTTTTTTTTTTTTTTTTTTTTTTTTTTTTTAATAACTCACTTTTCTTCATAATTCTCCGGAATTTGACGTATAGAGAAATCCTTGTTTTCCGCAATTCTGAAAACTCTTGCAGGTAGTTTGGTTAGTTCGCTGCCAATCTGCACTTTATCAATATTCATATTCATATTCATATTGATTCGTATAAATATATTTAAAAGGGAAAACTAACAAAATGATTATTTTTGTAAAACCTCTAACTCAACAAGCAAGCATGGGAGAATTGCATTCAATTTGTATCAAATTTTTTCTATACACTACATCCTATCGCTAGCTTTTGTTGAAGTAAAAAACAAAGTTAAACAATAAATGACAAAATACATATGTAATGCATAATAAGATCATATTTTTTAAGTCATTTAATACGACGTTTAAACGTAAATGGGAGCACATGATAGGTAATCTCGCATAAACTAAAAACCATACACAACGGCTTTATCTTACATACCGTAGACATGTAAAATGTATGCGAACTCTTTATTGGATTTAGCTGATTTGTGAATATGACATGAAAAAACAAAAAATTTTTGCAATCGTACGCAGACAAAGAGAAATTATATTCATTTAAATTTTTTTAGTTTTCCTTGAACTTTTAATTTAAAGTGATGAAACGGAAGCGGAAGAATTTGACATTAAATCAGTTGTTCTCGATCAAGTTTTTAGGTTATGACCTGATAATAAGCAAGCTCGTAGGTCGGTCTCATAAACATTTCCAAACTGCCCATGCTCCAATAGCCTATGTATTAGCCACATATAAAAAAATTAACATGAAAGGACGGTAGTACATGTAGTAGGTGGTAGTATATAGCAATAATCCCGGATATAATTTTCTGTTATTTCTGTACTTGCCATAAAATGCAAAAGAAATATTTGGAAAATCTTAAGGTGATTCTTCAAGGTTCATGGACTACATGCATTCGATTTTCGAATTTTTTTTTGTTATGTTGGTACACATATCTCCAACATATGTTGACATTTCCCGCCATAGCCGCCTCAGCACGTCAACAACCGATGAAGAAAAAGTAAGTATTAGAGAAGTTGTTAACGTCGACGTCGACGTCGACATATCGGTTGGTTCATGCTATGCAACGTGTGGCAGCGAAGCTTATTCCGAAACTTCTATATTTTGACTTTGCTTGTTCGTAATTTTTTGGCCAGAAAAAACACCGCAACCATGCTTCAGTTACCGTATCCGCCGGACTTGACTTCCTGCAACTTTTTCCTATTCATTCAAATTTAAACGAAGTTTTGCCATAATTAAGTTCGCATCGATGGAACTGCTCAAACACTCATACCAAAAAGTGCACATGCGAAGTGCTTCGAAGATTGACAAAGCCCTGGCACAAATGTATTATATCTAAGAGGGTTACTTTGAAGGAAACAAAGTAGATACTGATGAATAAATAAATATTTTTCGAGAAAAGTAAAAAGTCACCTTTTTTTTGAACACACACCTCTTATTATTTCTTTGTTTCCGAAAAGCTCGTAAAAGTGCAAACAAACATAAATGCCGAAATTATTCTTACTAACAAAATACACTTTCTTCTAGTAAAGGCGGAGTTAGAGAAAAGAAAAAAAAACTTCCCAAAAAAACCTACTTGCTACAACAACATTTTGAATTGTCAAGTGTTTTGCAAAAGGGAAATTCAGTTTGTTCAATCTTTTGAAATTATATCTGTTCTTTAAACTCTCATATTGGCAAAGTTGAGTTGACCAAGGCAGCCCAAACTTTATTATTGGGATTTTGAAAATTCCTACAACAAACAAGAAAAGACTTGAAATCCATACTGATCAAAAATATATACAATTTATGAAATATCTGATGCGTAAGTTTAGTTGTTAAAGCCGAAATAATACATAATTAAAAAATCTCCCATCATCTAATGGGATATATATATATGCCAAGCCGCAATATAACTACGTTCTTATAAATAAAAAATTTTGAAAATTCGATTAACTTTGTGTCTTGAAAAAAATAAATAAATAAATATATTTCGACCAGCATGCACCTACGTATAAAAAAAGGTATTAAGTGATGACCGTGGTGGAGAGGGAGAAATAATTTTGAATTTTTTATTCTTTTTGTTTTTAAAAGAAGATAAAATAAAAAGACAAAAAACACAAATAGATTTGTTACCGTGAGATTTCGTGAGTTATGTACGTACATAGACATCGTTTACCTGGTGGCCGGGACCCACTCGAATCTCTCCTTGAGTGGAGGCCGCCATTACCCTTTAAAAACACTTTTATCGTCCAGTGTTAAGCTTTTTATTGCCCTTTTTAATGAAAATTATTAAATGTAATCAAATTGTCTGCAAAGAAACAACAAACACACAATAAAGTATAAATTATTATAATGTAAACAGAAAGAATAACCAAATAAAAACAAATAGATTCAATAAATCAAGCCCGATAAAATGTAAAATTCCTTTTTTTTTTTTGTTTTGTACTGCAACAATACCTTTCGTTTTTATACAAGTGAAAAAGGTCATCTTAATTTACTGACGTGTTTTTCGTGTTCCCCATTAGGAAGGGGGATGGAAAAATCTAAGAAAATTGCTTCGACTCTATGGAATAGTTATAGTGTAACGTATCATTATAATTTACTTTCAGAAACTAATTGGCGGCTAACGACACCGGATCATCCTACCATCAACATGAATACAAGAAAATCCACTCCTGCTGGCAAACACATTTGCTGACAAAGCCAAAATAAAATTTCGTGCACATGTTCTATAAAACCATTTTATACATGTAAGCACATAAATATGTATGTTATAAATACAGATATTTTCGAAATAAATTGCCAAATTCATGCCAATATCATGTTATATCGATCTGAAATACGCGGAAAAAATTCATCGAAAGTAAGTCAATTGTTAGCTTTGAAATTAAAAAACCGATCGGTTTTCATGTAATAAGTTAAAGCTAACTTAACTGACAAGTATGATCTATTCCACTGAGCGTTGAACATGATTGATTTTTATGTACATCATGCATTGTTTTTGATACGGGTCATATTAAGGCTGGATTTATGAATACGACTTCGAAAATTGGCCCTGATCTTCCTCACTTTTCGCCCGCAATGCAGAAAAACTAAAAGCATCCCGGAAAACACCCACAATTTTTTTCATATTTTCGTCAATAACTTTGGATCCAATGAAGACTTTTTGAAAAACTTGTTACGCGAATATTCGTTAGGATCAGCTTCGCATGCATATTTCCAATCGGCTTACCAACCAACACGTCCATAATTAACGATAAAATCCAGTCCACTGTACGTTAGAATAAATGGGAAATAAACTGAAAGTAAATGGAAATTAAACTTCCGTCGCATTAAAGAATATTTTTGCCCCGAGCGTGCAGGTTGTTCTGGCGAATATTTGAGTAGCAGATTATCAGAAACATATTCACAAGATCGGACGTTATAAACGAAAATTTTAAAAAAATTCCGGCATTTATGAATAGATTATGGTCATTTTTCAAACTCATATCTGTAATCGATCAAGGAATATTCGTGCGACATTTCAGCTCCCCATCTTCATTTTTCCGACTATGATAATTCGGAAAATTACCCGTGAAATTGGCGGGGTTTCGCAAAAATAGGTGTATGAGGTTACATTTACCACAAAACAGCAAAGCGGGCCTGTTTCAGAAAAAAAGCGTAGAAATATATATTTGCCGCCTTATGTCACTGAAAACTAATATACAAAGTATAGATATCTAGATTTCAAACTGACAGTTGCCGTAAATCTACAGTTAAGTTTATAAGGCACAACAACACGAACAAAATAGTTTTTAGAATCAATTTAAGCCCGTCTGATTTCTGTCCAAGTAATTTGATAGCTAGATTGCAATTTTGTACACATTCTGCACTGATGCGCATTGATTTCGAGCTAAATTAATTAAACTGAACAATTATTATAAATGGTAAAAGTTACGTTATATAAGTTTTGGAAACATTTCCATGACGAGTTTAATTTAAATTGTTATAAATTTAATAACATACTTTATGGGTCTTAAAGGTTTTTATCACACGTAGCACCGATCAAATTCAAAAAATAGAATAACTTCTGAAATAAATTAGCCATTTCAGTGCACACAACATTCATCTCTCATTAACAAAAGTTAAAAGTTAAGATTTAGTGCATATACATGTACATCTTTTTACACAGATCCATATTGAAGGCGGACAGTAGGCGCCCGAGGTCTGTCCAATACCTCTTTGTTAGTTACCCATAAAATTGTCCGGTAACCAAAGTCACCATTATATTCCCCGGAGGGCCGTACTAATCAGTCAGGCAAGTAGGCATTGCTGATGAGAGGTGCATTGTCATACCAGGAGCAATCTTACTCTCCGTGAAGTCCTACAACTTCATGACTTCTAGTCCTTTTAGACTTAAATGATGCTGTACAGTTTTGGGTGAGCTCGTACTTGTACGCAGCCGGAACCACATTTGCCTTCGAACCTGATACACGTCCCGGAAGGCCTGCCAGTAATCGTTGAAGACAATTAGAAATTATGAAAATGTAATTCGGATCGATATAATCAGTCTAGAAAAGCCAATTCAGACTTAAGCGGGTCTACTGATACTGAACCTTCTCATACTTTGCTTGCTTTAATTTCGTGTAATTTCTCACTTAATTCGACAATCGATCCACTGGCGACATCGTTTAAGTGAATTAAAGAGATACAAACCAAATTGAAAAGAATTTAGAAGGTCGCGAAAGAACGTTTGCATTATAGTATGCGACCGGATAGAGATTACCTTGAAAGAAATGAAATAAAACATTTTACTTAATGACTCTTAGTGCGTTTGGAACACAATACTATCATGTATATCCTCTGGCAGTGTATAAAAGACCGGCTGACATAATGATGCGTTATTCTTATTTTCGGATTAAGAAGTCCTAAGTGGTAAATGGAACGGGAAGCAGCGTTACCATATTATTTGATAAGAAAAAAAAAAGAAAGGAAATCGACGCAAATGTTAACAAAAGGCATATGGTTTGAGAAGTCAAAATAAAGAAATCGACATAAATGGAAAAAAAATGTATGGAAAACTACGAGACAAAAATTTAATGTAAAAACAAATTAAATTTTTGATTGATTATTGAAATAAAGAACGAAGAAAATAAGTTTAAAAGAAGGAGGTTAGAGAGATGGACTTCACTGACACAGTTCCATAAAGCAAAAAATTGCTTGTTTTTCACACATTATAATATACCATCAAGTAAAATCAAAATTTCAAATTGAATAACGTAAAGAAAGCTTAAATGAATATAAAATAAACATAAAGTAGATAAATGAGGTTTTTTGGTCTTTGTATTATTTGTTTGCATACATATAAAATCCTATGATTTGCCAATTCCCACAGTCTTGCGAAATGTCATCAGAGTTGACGTTCCATTCCGAAAAAATATATAAGGAATCATTTTGTCAACAATACGAAGAGAAAGCCGAAGTTTCGCGAAAGTGACGAACCAACTTATGAATATGTACATCACACAGTTTAAAGAATTCAATAAGCAACCTAAGCATCTAATTTATACTGTGTGCCGAAATTTAAGCGAAAATGCTTAACATATTATATTTTCATCAACAGTTTACATACAACATGCAGGCAAAGACATCTTTCAGAAAAAGATATTAGTTACAAAAATGTTTTGCATAGCAGAAGTCGATGTCAGACGACTATCAGGCGTAGATTTAACGATACAGATAAAATTTTGTGTTTTCTTTAGGCTGTGGCTACTCAGGATATATATATGGCTCTTTCAATTAAATTCGCCGTATACATACGCTCATATATCGTTTAGCATTTACAAGGTGTTCATGTTTATGTCAAATTAACGCATCAAATAATGATAACCCGGTCATAGTTTTCGAACCTTCACGCGCACACTTTTGCAAATCAATTTTATGGTAATAAGCGACAAACGACACAATGTGTTCTTATTGCTATTAATAAAAGATCTAAAAAAAATCAAACACAAATTCTTCGAATATATGAATAAATCAAAACTCATTAATTAAGTTGTCTTAAATTGATTTAATTGCTGCCTTCCTCAAGCGTTTAGGCAAAGAATAGCGAATATTTTTATAAATGTGAAATTTAAATTTCATATTGCATATGTACTTGTAGTTATATCTTTGATTTTTACGGAAGAGGGGCTTGGCATTAAGTGTTAAAATCAACTCATATTAAATTAAATGAAAATATGCAATGAGCACAATAACACCAAAATTATAACAATATTATATTATTGTACTTGATTGTATGAGTTCCCCTAATTAAATGATTTTCTTATCTTACTCTCGAAAATGATGAAATCTAATGCCATGTACTTCAGTTTAATCGATATGGAACAAATAATTGCTGACGATGCTTGCTTATTGGAAATTATTTATATTTTATCAGTGTTGTCAGCTTTTTGTACCCACTGACGCGAAACGAGAATACATTATGTTTAACCTTCCGTTTGCCACACGCGGAAACATGCATCCTGACCATTGTAAGATTTGTAATTAATTTACGCTTAGAAACTTCACATATATATTTTCAGTTGGTGTCCATATATCAACTTTAAAAGTGGATTTTATCCTATCTTTTGACTTGTTAAGAAACTCACACGATCACCAAAATGATAACAAACTTGTATTTTCACCCATAAAATTGCAAAGAGAAAAAGAAGTTTCAAAATATTTCTATTGGCAAGGAATAGCTTTTATCAGATATCAATCAAAGGTTTGGCGCATATATTAGTCATCATATTCAACTAATCCCGGCGAACGCTGCTACAAAGTTGAGTACCCTGCAATTAACGTGAATATTTTGAATATTTCATATTTGCTTTGGATAGCGTAAGTATACGCTATCCGGTTAAAATCCGACATGTAATGTATAATAGTTCGAATTGATGTAAGTTTCTTTAAATCTATTTTAAAGAAAATAGAGCTATAATTAGATTTTGAACTAAATTTTCCAAAAATTTTTGTTTTGTTGTGTTAAATACGAAGATCAATCGAAAAAAATAGTTGCTTCACGAAAATTGCCTGTTATATCCTGCATTATTTACAGTTAACTTTGTGCGGATGTTTGCAATACCCAGAAGGACTTCAGACAGATCCACTTTTTATTACCCAGGTTGTCTATCCATCCGTCGGTCTGTCTGTGTTGTTTTTTGTGTTTAACCTACAGGCCTCAATTTTTAAAATATTCTGATGAAATTCAGTGCGCTAACGTGTTTTAGCCCAATGATCGAATGGGTCAGATCAGACCAGTCATTCTACCACTTTTCATATAATTTT